ATTTCCTCTATGGTTAATAAAGCTAGAGGAGTTCTTGGTTTCATTAAAAGGTGGACGAAGGAATTTAACGACCCCTATGTTACCAAAACACTTTTTATTTCTTTAGTTCCTCCGATTCTGGAATATGGATCACGTATCTGGGACCCCCAGTATGGGTTGACCAGTGCCTTATTGAATCCATCCAAAAGAATTTTTTAATATTTGCTCTCCGCGGTCTCAACTGGGATGCAAATATACACCTTCCCTGTTATAAAAGTAGACTCTTACTAATCAATTTGCCATCCCTCGCTAATCGTAGGTCGATGCTTGTCTTTATCCATAATCTTCTTAAGGGTGAAATTGATAGCCAGGCCCTTCTAGGCCGCCTGAATATCCATGTACCCCTTAGGATTACTAGAATCCCCATACTTATCTCATGTAGCTGGTCACCGGACCCCTACCTCTTTCTCTCGCTCTCTCTTATAGCGGGTCTCCGGAACTGTACAATCGTCTCTTGTAGCGGGTCTCTGAATCCTTATACCGTCTCTTGTACTGGGTCTCCGGATCTCTACATCTCTCTCCGCCTCTCTCTCTCTCTCTCTCTCTTGTAGTGGGTCGACAGAAGTCTACACCCATCTCTTAACTAGCAGGTTTACGTATCTCTACCCCTCTCTCCACATGTAGGTTTACGGATCTCATCCTACTTTGTATATAGCATAACTGGGGAGCGGTTCGGCCCCAACCTAAGTGACCATCGGAACCCTATTCCTGCCGCTTCAGCCTCACCCTCCACTACGGGCGCGTACCCACACCGCGGAGGAGTCATCGCCGCCCCCTGTGAGGACCATCGCCCGACTTGGAACACTCGAGGAGAGCGTCGTCACTCAAAGCCTAAAATTCTGTAACCTTTACTTGCTATAAAACTCATTCGTACACTTGACTACAGTAGCCCGCGTCAAACTCCGGGATCGGGGTGGCCTCTTCTTTTCAGCAACCACACCTGAATCAAGCAAATATTGGAATGAACTACTGGCGCTCGTTAAACTATCTCGGCCCCCCAAAATATGACCTTTAAACCGTTTTGAATTCTAAATAATCTATATATTTTATTTTATATTATTTAGTATATTATATAGTTTATATTGTATGATACATACCTTGAAATATTTGTAATTAGCATATAATGTCCACTTCCTACATCTTTCAAAAACAGCATATTTACATGATATGGCTTCTCCATCTCCGATTGAAAAAATACGTTAATTACGTTCACTTCTCTTTTAAAGCGAACGGTTGTGTTTTTAGCTTTTGCGTGTTCTCGAACGATTTAATCTTTGAATTTATTCCCGAATCACCTCGTTTTTGCTACTTTTTTGCAAACGTTTATCTACTTGAAAATACCGTCTTTAGATTCCGCGTCGTGCAGTGCATTTATTGTTATCTGTTTGCATAAAGCATTTATTGCAAACAAATATCAACAACTGTGGTCTGTATTCTAACATATTTTTTTTACTTTACTTTGTGCTATTAGTAACAGAACTTTCACCGCTTACCTCTCCAGCACAACATCTGTAGATCTCTTTTCTATATCTCCCACCGGCTTGTAGCTCTCGAAAACGCACTCTTTCCCTCTCTTATACAACTCTCTCTCGCTTACTCTCTTGCCCCTAACTGTTTCTCTCAAACTCCTTTCTTCTTCCCTATAATATTTTTCTGGCACAGTGGTTTACATTTTACTAATTATTTGCCAAAATGTCTGATATTATCTGTTGCATTAAAAAATGCAATAAAATTGTGTCGGTTGACCAAGTAAGCGTCCACTGTTGGCTGTGTGATAACATTGCGCACTCCAAGTGTGCAGGGTTTAAGTCAGCCACCACCGAATGCTTTGGGTCGTTTCGACTCTGGCTTACACCACTGTTGTGACAGATGTCGTGAGGCCCAGAAGGAAATTAGATCTTTTATGCGGAAGACTAAAAATGGGTTCGGTCAGGTATTGGTTGCTTTTCGAAAAGCTAACGACCTGTTTTCTGCGCTGGACACTCAGTTCATAAATTTACAACTGTTGAATGAGTCTCCTAAGCGCAAAAAAACGTCCCGTTTGCCGCCGGCGGTTATCGACGGTAATGCAAGTAACTTCCTTCTCCCACCGTCTGATGTTCAACAGTCTCCTTCATTGTCACCGCTGCCGTCTACCACTCCAATCGTGACGACACCGGTAAAAGCCCATATTTCGAGCTCCAGAAATTTTTAATTCTGAAGTTTCCCCCAGTAGGTACACAATATATAGGCTTGATTGATTCCTCGGAAATGGTGGTGGAGTCTTAATTTCAGTGGACTCCTAATCTTGCTTCCGAGGTGATAAATCTTCAAACTGGAGACTTAGAATTTGTCACAGTAAAAATCTCATTGTCTAGGTTAAATTTATATTTCACTTGCTCTTATATTCCGCCTAAGTCCGATTCCTTGACATATGAGCGGCACCTAGCAGCCATTCAGTCTGTCTTCTCTATGTTATCGGACATGGATCAGCTGGTGGTGTTGGGTGATTTCAACCTACCCCAGGTGGCTTGGTCCATGAACGATAAAACCTTAGCTTTAACACCTACGTCGCATCACGACCTTACTGCTGGCATGTTAGACATGTCACTGGCTCAAATTAATTATATAGGGAATTCTTTAGGTCGTTTGCTCGATCTGTGCTTTCTCTCTGATACGGACGCCGTATCCATATACAGAGCTCCACCTCTCATTATCAACATTAGATCTTACGATCGATACGGGGCTATGCACTTAGCCTAAGAACAATTACGCAGTTAAGAAAATTCGATGTCTTCGTAAAGCCGACATTAAAAAAATGAATAACTTTATTTCAGAATTTGACTGGTCCGATTTGTACGCATGCACCGATATGTCGACTGCTCTAGATATATTTTATAGTACATTAAACCTAATTTTTGATCGCTTTGTTCCGTTGCGGTATACGGCTATGGCGGATAAGCCCCCTTGGTATACAAGGAACCTTTCTAATCTAAAATATATCAAATTAGGATTATTTAAAAAATACTTAAGAACTAATAGCAATGACTTTTATGGTTTCCAAAATAAACTTCAGACGGATGTCATTTACACTGACTTTAGTAAAGCATTTGACTCCGTGAATCACGGCCTTCTTTTAGAAAAACTCGATCTTATCGGTTTTCCTACTGATCTCCTGGGTTGGATTATGAGTTACCTCACAGGTAGAACGCAACGAGTTCTTTTTAAAAATTCAGTGTATGCTTTAGTCTATGCTTCCTCCGGGGTCCCTCAGGGGACCCACCTTGGTCCGTTACTTTTTACTTTATTCATTAACGACTTTCCCTTGGTTGTTAATGAATCCCTAGTACTTATGTATGCAGATGATGTCAAACTCTGTCTGCAATATACCGATGCCTCCTACCAGGTGAAACTGCAATCTGACCGTAATAATTTTCAAAACTGGTGCTCTGCAAACTTATTAAATCTGGATGGATCTAAGTGCAAAGCAATGACCTTCTGTCGCCTAAGACCTAAAGTTGCCACTTATACTTTGCATGGTGTAGCTCTGGAAAGAATTAATGCAGTTGAAGATCTTGGCATCCTACTCTATGCAAAACATAAGTTTTCCGACCATATTTCCTCTATGGTTAATAAAGCTAGAGGAGTTCTTGGTTTCATTAAAAGGTGGACGAAGGAATTTAACGACCCCTATGTTACCAAAACACTTTTTATTTCTTTAGTTCCTCCGATTCTGGAATATGGATCACGTATCTGGGACCCCCAGTATGGGTTGACCAGTGCCTTATTGAATCCATCCAAAAGAATTTTTTAATATTTGCTCTCCGCGGTCTCAACTGGGATGCAAATATACACCTTCCCTGTTATAAAAGTAGACTCTTACTAATCAATTTGCCATCCCTCGCTAATCGTAGGTCGATGCTTGTCTTTATCCATAATCTTCTTAAGGGTGAAATTGATAGCCAGGCCCTTCTAGGCCGCCTGAATATCCATGTACCCCTTAGGATTACTAGAAACTATATTCCTCTATCCTTAGAGCATTGTAGTTCGAACTTTGCCCAACATAAACCATTTCGGGTACTATATTCAAACTACAATGATCTTTACAAATTACTTCTAACTCTTCTTCTAACACTTTGAAAGTTTCGATACTAATCCATTTAGCACAAAACTAACTTTCCTCGTATCTTTCCTAATCCACTCGGATCTATCCCCGTGTTCCGAGCCGTACGTCAGACGGCAGCGCCCCTCGGTTGGTTGGGCGGGAGGTGGATTGCACGTCAGGGAACGGAAATCGCGCAAAAATACAAAAAAAAAATCTGCGATTTCGATCACAGAACATGAAAAGTTAACCTCAATTTCTTAGCAATAAACAACTGAAATCTGTTTGCCGCCAAAATATTACTTTGATTTCCTACAGAAAATCGAATGCTACTTTCATATACTATTCCAAAAACGGGAATCCTTTAAAAGAATCACAACCAACATCCTCTATCGTCCACCACTCTGCAGACATTTACGATGCCTTTGGGCTTTTTGGTCGGACAAGACCCGTAAAGAAGAAATACCCAGTAATACGCAATCGTTAATTTGTCCGCAGAATATGCCCTTCAGTATGCAAAATGGAAAACACCCGGTATACACCGCCTATTAGAAATGAAACTTTTCGAACTTTTAAATTACGCTCCTCCGCCATAGACACAATTTGACCCTGACGAAAAGGACATAAATAAAACTCAATTAAAAAAAGGACGGATTCATGGGAACACTACCAAAATATCAGAACAAACCTTTTCGTTCCTATACCTCCCTCAAATATATTATTTGAACTAACATCTACTAAATGCAGCTTAGTATTATCTTTCTAACGCAAATGCAATATTATATGTATCAAATCTAAAAAACCCTAACAAATATCTTTTACCCACCCACAAATGTTAAATCACATTTGTATATACATATTTGAAAATTGTCGAGTCAATTTGTAGCTAGTTACTCCTTTCCCTAAACTTGTCATTATATTTTAAATGCAATTAATTTAAATCCGTTTTAAATATGCCTTCAATATCATATTGATATTGATATACTGAAAAAATGTATTTAAATAGTGTATTAAATATCAATCTCTACATAAGTAAAAATATCTTTGGGTACAACGATTATAGCAAAAAAATAATTCGATCGCTCCTTCAATAAAAGATCAAGAAAACCATATCATGTCAACATGCTATTTTGAAAGATGGAGGATCGAGACATTATGTGTTCATCATTGTTCATATTTTCAAGGTATGTATACTACAATATATATATATATAAATATATAAATAGACTCACGCCTAAATGACGCTTGCAAATAGCGCCATTTTATTTAGAAAATAATGGTTTTGTGCGGAATACGTATCAAGCACTACGTCCATCCATCGACCTAATCGATTGAGCGCACTTCTGCTTAATGGCTACGTCAACAAACAAAACTGCCGTATTTGGAGTGAAGCTAACCCTCAAGTGTATATCAAAACACCGTTACATGCAGAAAAACTAACAGTTTGGTGCGCTTTTTGGGCTGGTTCTGGGCTCAATGGACCATACTTCTTCAAAAACGATGATGGCCAGAACTTTACAGTCATCGAAAATTGGTAAAAATGTTTGGTAAAATGTAATGCCACTAGATTATCTTTCGGGTAAAAAAATTCATATCAATCGAATAATTCATCGTTGATTTATTGAAATCTAAAGTTTTATAAAACTGAAAAAATTCTTTATAAATATAGAAGTAAATGAAATAGTCATTGCTTTTTATAGATTATTGACAAGACAACACTTGTTTGAATTTCTCGGGAACCAAGGATGCTGCTAAAATTTAAAGCACATAAAACCCAAAATGCTTTTTATAGTGCCAACAGCTGGATGCTCCATTCGACATGTATGCTGCCTTTGAATGTGTACTGGAGCCGAGAAATATTAAAGTAAGCCCAAAATTATTTTATTTAAACGATCATATACCTATATCTTATGCTTAGGTCAAATATATATTAAGTTGAGGTTACTTTCAAGTTATATGTTAATAAAACATCCATGCACACACTCTTTGCCTAGTGTTGGTTACGCTACAAGATCAGGTATTTCTTGTTTCGGTGAGGGTTTCGGCACCATTATAAAAATATCAAGTGCACAGTCAAGTATAAGTCAATGTTTATTCAAATTTCTGTAGATTTCTGTACTTCAACACAAAGGGACACATACTAAATAGTTAGCATTTCAGTCATTGTTTTTTAACACTCACATATCTTAGCGTAATAAAAATGAGAATTCATATGCATACATCTGTTTATGAATTAAGCGGACTGTATTTATTTATTATAGGGTTTGAGTATAAGAAGAGAATTTGAGATTTGAAGATTTTAAGCAGGTGCATGTCGCAAGCGTTTGCGGGTACAAAAACTATATAACTGCCGAAACAACGTGCAGAAAAGATAAGGCAGAAAAACGCGTGATGTGCCTATACTAATTCAGATCTACTGCAATTTCGGCTTAAAGCTTTCATGTAGAAAATAATGCAATGATGAGCATTTAACTAAGTGCGATTAAACAATAATGATAAATAACCGATCTGCACAGTTTTAACTGTGACCACACGGACCCTCTGATCCTGAGCAGATGAAGTTGTACGACTCGTCCCAACAGCCACTTGCTTGGCGGTTGATTCGGCTCCTTCAGCACAACTAGGGTGTCCATTGCAAAGTTCTGAGCATCTTGTTGCCTTTTCATGCGAACTTGAAGCGTACTTAGAACCTTGGCCTGCAATTGTCTCCAGCGCTGCGGTCTGTTGATGTTTACCTCTAGAAACGATGGCTCTGGTACCGAAGTGAGAGGCTGACCTGTTAGAAAACGAGAAGGGGTTAGCGGGTTAAGGCTGTGATCGCTGGATTGATTTCGTGACTCGACAAAAAGCTCGAAATCTCTTCGTTATGAGCTTGGGCGATTGCAATCCGTTGCATTTCAGCTAAGTCTCGTTTGGCTCCATGAAAAGTTTTACCGTTGTCCGAATATAAGTCCGATATGGGCCCCGTCGAGACCAAAAGCGTTTAAAAGCGGCTATAAACGCGGAGGTTGTCAAATCGCTGACCACTTCAATTTGTATCGCAAACCACGAATCGTCAAATTTTGGTGTCCGATCTGTAGAGGCTTTGATCGTCACAGGTCCAGCATAGTCCACTCTAGTATGAAGAAAACAGCGGGCGGGTTGAACTCGAAACTCGGGTAGGTCAGCCATAAGTTGAGAATTCGTATGTCGTAGTTGCAAGAAGCAAGACCTGCAATTAAATACAGTTTTGCGGACGATGTTTCGAGCTCCTAGAATCCAATACCTTTGTCGAAGACTATGAAAAGATGCTAATCACGGTCCAAGGAGGTGCCGGCGGGAGGCGGGCTTCTGTTTAGGTGTGCGTATCGAGAGGGAGTCGCGGTTCGTGCAGGACTATGCCTGGCCACCGGCTGTCGGGGAATCGGCCTGTCGTCCGGGTACCGACGCCCCGCTCATCCAGGGCGGCCAGCAGACCTGGACAGGCTCGGACGGCCGATCTCGTCGACCGGGAATCGGTTGTCCTGCCCCGTCAGCCGGGTGCCGGTGCCCAAACTACGAGGGAGGATATGGACGGCCGATCCCGTCGAACCGGAATCGGTTATCCGGCTCCGTCAGCTGGGTACGGTGCCCTAAACTACGATGAAGGAAAAAGGATGAGAGAGAGGAATGCGGTTCCGTCATCCGGAGACCGCTTCAGCACGGTTTCCTAGCGACCGAGACTACGGGAAATAATCTGGAGCCGAGTGTTCTTGTATTACTCCTGTCGTTTTATTACCTCACACCCCTCCCTTCGTCGGGGATAAGGGAGGACCTTAACCTTGACGCCCGTGCTTCCGGGGCGCAGGCCGGCTGTGTGGTAAGTGTGTGTGTAAGGCGGCTTCTGTGTACGCCTGTGAGGCGGCTGGTGTATGCGCCTGTTATTTTTTTTTTTTTTTTTTTTGATTCGTGGTGGTTTAAAGCCTCGAAAGCCAACTCGGAGCTGGGTTAGCTTGCCGAAGTCTGGGACTCTAACCCAGTAAAAACTCCACCCCCTCCCCGCTTCCCCGACGGTACTGCCGTTAGGTATTACTTCGCCGGGGGGGGGAATGCCCTTAGGGCTCTCTAGGATTCTATCCTATTGGAATTTTGCCGTCTTTCTGCGATGCGCAGTTTTTTGAGTACTATTGTGGCCGTGTTGCTTACGGAGGACCAATTTACTTCAGATTCAGATTGTATGCGCCTGTGACGCGGCTGGTGTGTGTTGGGCGGCGTGTGTGTGTGTTCGCCTCGTGTTGGTTCTCGCGGGTCGAGCCGAAGTAGGTAGCTGGTGCTTGAGGGTCGGTGACCCATCACTGTAGTGTGGCTCCGCCGTAGCACAGAACGTCCATGCCGAGCAGAAGGTCGTCCAGCACGTCCGCCATGATGAGAGCGGAGACACTGGCCCAAGCTATCCCCAACTTAATCGTGGTTCGCAGGGCCTGTGTGAGCTCCCTGCAGGTTCCGTCGGCTAACTTCACTTGTGTCCGCACGGCGCGGCGGATTCCTTCCATCATCTAGTTCACTTGCCAGGCGTACGTATCCAAGGTAGCGGTGAGAGGGTGCCCCTTGGCCGTGACCTGCGCACGGATACGGTCCCTAACCTGCTGCATTGCTTTGGTTAGTGGCTGCGGTGGGTTCCTCGGGTTACTCCCTGATACCCGAGGCCCTTGCCTGTTTTCCAGCGTCTGGTTCCTGCAGCACTCGATAGTGCATTTGCCCTGGCGACCGCAGTCCCAACAAAACATGATTCTCTAGTTCCGGCATTCCGTGGAGTAGGGACCAGACTGGCCGCAGTTTCGGCAGCCTGTGCTGGGGTCGGTTGACCTGGTGGGCGTGGCCCCTTGGTTAAGGTTTCCCCCGGCGTCTCGGTTGGCGGCGTTATTGGTCGTGTTCCTAGGTTGTGACACCTGCGGTGTGTGGGCATTGTTCGCCCTGGGTCGTGCGACTCTGCTATGGGATGGATACTCGGCGTCTAGGCTTGTTGAAGGGTATCCACGAACGGTTCGGCCCCCGCTGCTGCGGGCAACTTCGAAGTAGACCACCAGGTGCGTGAGTTCGGTCAGCGTCTTGAAATCCTTACGGCGGGTGAACATCTGATATTAGCGCAGCATGTTCTCGTAGACCCGTTCCATTTCCTGCTCTAGTGAAAATCCAGCGTGGCGCATCTGAAGGCGAAGATCTACCAAGTATTCCTTGAACGGCTCATTCACTTTCTGGAAGTGAGAGCATTGATAATACCGGGGCGGTAGGAAGAAGTCCAAGAATTCCTGGCGGACTTCGGTCCAGGTCCGTCCCTGCAGATCACTGGTTCGGAACCAACTTTCCGCTCGACGTGGAACAGATATTCCCGGTCAACCCGGTAGGTATGCGCCCGTTCTTCGATGTGTTCCACGAAGCTGAGCGGGTCTGAGGTGCCATCGAAGGACAGTCACATTGGTCACATTGTCAACCAACATCGATCAGATGCCTGCATCGAACTGGGTATCCTCGGAGTGTTCCGGTTGTCTGGCGAACGCGTGCAGTCTGGCCTGCTACTCCTCTACCGTACCGTTTTGTTCCAGGCCAAGCTCGAGAAGAATAGCCTCGAGTTCGTGCTTCTATCTATAGGAAATCCAGACCTCCATGTTGTCGTCGGCGTGTGTCCAGGCTGTGAATACTTGGTGGCTATGTATCCTTGGTGGCTGTGTATCCTTGGTGGCTGGGTATCCTTGGTGGCTGTGTATCATTGGTGACTGTGTATCCTTGGTGACTATGTATCTTTTGTGGTTGTGTCGTCCTTGGTAGTCCTTGTGACAGGAGTGTACTTGTTGCTTGTGGTTGGTGGCCCATGTTGTCTCTCATGATTCATTTGATTGATTGTCAATTGTGTGTCGGTAGCGACTTATATTATATATTCCCCGCTCTGCCGGCATCGGGCGTCCTACTCGGTAAGAAAGACCAGTTGTGCGCAAGGGATAGAGGAACTGAATACCTGATGGCGTGGATGCCAGCTGCGGCGTCGACGTGGCTCAGGTTCCGCACTTAGAACCGTTTCCCACGTTCGGGGATGTGCCAATCCGTGGGTCTAAAGATAAGATCATTTGTCGATTCACATGTAAGCTACCTAAGCTAGGACTTATTAAAAATAAAATCAGTTTTGTAATAGAACTCAACGAATGAAGATTGTTTTTATTTAAACCTTCTTTTCATTTTGGTCCTTCGCAACTCTGACGTTTTCCCCCACCAGTGGTAAGAGACTCAGAGAAAAAGACCAGCACTTTAAAGTCCTGCTAAGTGGTAACACTTAACAAGCTACAGGTTGCAAAAATAATTGGCTCTAGATTTCCCCCACCAGTGGCAAGAATCAGAGCATAAATTAATAAAGCATAAAGATAGACAAGAATCTGTATTGTTTAATAAATTTACACAAATCTTGAAAACAACGAATTTCTTCTTTTAAAAAAAAAAAAAAAACAAATATCATGATAAATATAAAATTTTTTAATAAAATTTGCTATCACGCAAATAAATATTTGGCGTCGAAAAAGTGGTGACAAGTGAAAGTAAAAAGAAAAATCCTACCGACATCAAATCCCAGTTGTGACAGTTCCATGAGCTAAAAAAGAAGATCAAGAAAAAAGAAAAAATAATGCCAAAACGATATACAAAAATAATAATAATAAAAATCAACACATAACAAACTTAAAAAAAAAAAGTTGAAGACATCTAAAGCCAGCAACTACAACGACTATCACGTGTGAGCAGCAGCAACAACATCAGCAGAAGCAGCAATAACATCAGCAGAAGCAGCAACGCCAGAGACTACGACAACCATTGTATCAACTTATCGGCAACGGCAACTACAACCACACGGCAGCGTTGTCGGGAGGCGGGCTTTTGTTTAGGTGTGCGTATCGAGGGGGAGTCGCGGTTCATGCAGGACTACGCCCGGCCACCGGCAGTCGGGGTATCGGCCTGTCGTCCGTGTACCGACGCCCCGCTCATCCGGGGC